AGGAGCGTTTGCCCGACGGGTGAGTTCATCAGAGTCGCGTACACGGAATTGATTGGCTCAGTATCGGTAAAACCTTAATGACGGAGAGGTTCGTTAAAACGTCGACAAAATCGTGTTGCATGGTATCTGCAAGGAAGTCGTAGTGATGTAGAAAATCGAGTCCAAGGCTAGGTGTTTGAACGTCTGCAACGAAGAATACTTATTTAAAAGATCGTCGTAATTCAAGGTTGAGCGTGCGTGAGCTTTGATCATACACTCATATGATGGTCCCGTTAGCTGCGCGCAATGAGCTAGTCAACTACGTTATAATCTCGTTGAGATGGCGTGGGAAAACTCTAACTTCTGCGCCTGTGTCGACAAGGTAGCATAGTCCCGTTTTCCGGTCGGTAATTTAGAAATGGCACTTGCAGTGACCAGCGACTTCTGTCGCCCCTATGTGCTAGTCGGCCTGTTTACCAGTTTTTGCCAATTAAAAGAACAAGAGGAAACACACGAGCTACACTGCTGACCAAATCGCGTGTGGTACTAGAAATATCATGGTCTAGGCGGGTACTTTGATGAGGATAGAAAACGGATTCGAATTTTAGGACGAGATCGGCAATTAGGTACATAAACTGAAATGTCTTTGAGTCGTTTATTAAGCTCGGCTATCGGCGCACTGAGTTTTACTAACTCCGTAACAGAGATCGATTGGACCTGCGCAAGTTGTGCATAAGATTTCCAGTTCTGTCGGCGGTATAAGCCAAAAGGGACAGTGAAGCAACGCTATTAACGGAAAGCCCATGACCCTTCTTCCGGAGTAATCGTTGTAACCACATCTCTCGGAGAAAAGCATCATCGACTGAGGTGGGTTTTGCCACGCTTTGCCTTCTTCTTAACAACCGTGACGGCTTAAGACCACCGAGTTGCGTTGTTCTTAAGAGTTTTAGTACTCCTTGTTGGTCGGACAAGCCAGTGCTTTTCAGAACTGCGGCTTTAATGGTTACATAATTTTTATGATACTCAGGCAGAAATAGAATGGCATCCAGGTCCACGATAACATGCGCAGGGAGCGCGGCCACGACCTAGTGGAAATTGGTGTAACCGGAATTCATACGATGTAAAAAGAACTGAGGTTTCATCTGCGAGAAACAGGCTTTAGGATTAGTCTCACGAAAAGGAATTATAGGGAGAATAAGAATAGTAACCTGGTCGTATGAATCTGGATTTATAACCTTCCTGGCGAAAATTACTGAGCCAGCTGCATGAAAACACATAATTAAAAATATGAAAAGGTAGAAGGATAGAAGAAATATGTGGATAAAATTGCAAGGAACGTTAGTAAAACACCCACTAATTGGAAGTGCGTCACGGATTATAAGTCGGGGTCACCAATTATAGCGCGTTGGTCTGACGCTATATCCGATACCCATATTAAATGGCCAACCAAGGGCGTGCAGCAGAAAACACTAAAATAGGGTAGAAAAAGGTTTAGTAGAAGGTTACAAAACCTTAAGACTAAAAATAAGGCACCGGAAGATGACTAGTTAGGGAGCATGTAGTAGGGTACTGAATGCGCTTAAATAACCGACGTATTTTTAAAGCTTGCGGATGAACTCCGAATCTTCCCTTACCAACACGTGCACCATACATACACGCAAACCACTCACTTCCTTAATTTGTGAGGATGCCATGATTTCATATTACTTAGGATTAATGTACTCCTCGACCGCATTGTCGGCAGCCAATGCCAAGCGAAGACCGATCGAACGTATCCAAGTGACTAATCAAAAAGGACAAGGATGTGAAACTTTTGCATAGTTTGCAGTTACGCAGGTCCAGAATCAGGCGAAACTTGATGAGGAAACAGACAGCAGGCATGGGGAGTTTGACGTCAGCGATGAAAAAAAGGAAAACTGCAACTGAGACCAAAGTTGAGAGACAGCAGTTTCGGCCGTATCTACAGTTAGGCGCTTACAATATCAGTCCGGCTGGAAGTAGGTTGTGTTTATTTGCAGCACGAGGAATAAGGCTGAATTCCGCACCAGTGCCAACTAAAAAGTACGAATTGGTTGAGGAATCCTGGAGGTAAAGCAGACGAATATAAGAGTGGACAGACGCAGCTGTCGCCTTCACTGGCTAGCGCGGAAGTTTTCCTGTTGCGGTTTATAGAATGCCTTTGGTTGCTTACAACCAGGTTGATACTTCCTTGCATCATCGCCAAAACGGTGATGGTACCAACAGAGATGACGTGTCGTACGCCTGTAGGTACTAAGGCTACTTTGAGAGGAGCGTCTAGAGCTTCTATCACGGAAGCGATTAATGCTCACAGTAACGAGCTCCAGCTTCGCTAACCTCTCGGAAATGGCTTTAATCGGGTTAGTCTTATGGTCGGCAATAATGCTCTACTCGACTGTATGATATGCTGTGTTTTTAGGAAAGAACTCGTGAATTTGGTCCGCTGTCTCTGCCAGCTCGTCCGAAGACAAATCATTAGCAAACACAACGAAAGAATAGTGGTGGGCGCTGATTGACGTTTATGGTAGCTTTGTCGCAGCATTTTTCATGGATCTTAGAGAAACCGATCAAAGTATCCAAGTGCTTTCAGAGCTTTAATGGCGCGCGTTCGCCTAGTTCAACACCGGGGAATAATTGTAGAAGTCTAGCTTCATTAGAAGCCGTGATGCGCTTTAAAACGCTGGCTTTCGGCTAATCGTAAAGTGCATGGCTCGGGTCTAAAGCAAACAAATCTACAAGGTCAGTTGCGACGTAGGTAGGAACCCGGGCAGTGACCTGTGCAAACACTAATAACTGCAAAGTAACGTGACGTATGCGAAACAGAATTACTAATTATAAAAACCATGATTAAGAATTAGATGCATCCAAGTCATGTAAGGCGAGACCAAGAAATTTCTCTGAATTGTCAGTGCGGGAATGGTGGTGCGACGTAGTAACGTCACGAGAAGAGAGCTCTGTGCTTACAAAAGATAAAGATGGTCACTAAATATGTAGTGAGAAGGGCAAAATAAAAGGGCGTAACTACATAAAATGAACTCCCAGTCCATAAAGGCAGGGTGCTGGACCTGAGCTTAGGTAAAACGGGATCATCTGTAGGCCGTCAGTTAGCCTCACAATCCGGTCGGAAGCCCATATTATTCCCTGAAAAATAACACACATAAAAGTTTTCGAAAGTAACCGCTTTTTGAAGATAAACGCCTTGCCTAGGGATAGAACTCATACTGGTATGACAGTGCGCGAATCGGTATAACTCCCTTACATGTACCCTCTGAACAGAAAATAATTTAACAGGAAGTGCGACACGAAAATCTTCAACATTAGCCCCTCACGTGACGTTTAGTTGGGCAGTAGAAAGACATTCTGGTTACATGTACTCATGCACCGTACAAATTTACCAACCCATAGACAAGATTTGGAGCGTTTTTTGCATAACCTTTTATCTATGTATGCCATGATGACTAGCGTAAAATGCACAACGTTTGACAAGAATTCAATTGGACAGGATTTCTAAATGTACGGTTAAACAGTATTCACGTCTTTCAGCTAAATTAGTGAATATATTTTGCTATGGAATTTACGTAAAAGAATGAAATACCCTTACTTAATGTGCTACAGGAAAAATAAAATCAGTTTTCTGCTAGCTCCGGTAAGGTTATTTTAGGTGATACTAATATTGATAATTAAATGTGAGCGCCAGAAGCAGTGGTGAGCTTGTACAGAATCTAATCTATATATAAGGGAAAAGACAGCAATGGTTATATAGAAAACATATTATTTATATATGCATGTGGACAGTACAGGGAATCTTCATTTTTGTATAAACTCCTCAGTGCGACATGAATATTGCCGTTTATCGGGTTCAGAAGATTCCAACTATGGAAATAATGTCAATGCAATTAGCAATATTACTTTATATTTTAAACATGCGTAGATTTTATGTTAGTACCAACACTAATTATGAGCAACTAAACTTACAATCAGAGCTGCGCGCAGTTAAAGTTCAACAATTTGGTCATAATATTTACTGACACAGCGTTAGGAATTATTGCGTTCCTTATAATGCTAACGCTATATTAACGATAACAGTTTTCTTATTGTTGCAAAGTAGATGAAATGACGCAAATGAGCAAATGTTTCGGCTTTTGTATGGCCTTGTTGTTCCCGTATTTGGGCATAGATTGCAACAGTGAGAACTCGTTAAATAAAGTTGCGGTACTAAAGAGGGAATGTCGTTTATACCTTCAAATATTTTTGCCTGAGTGCACATTTTACTATATCGCATCTTCCTATTGTTAGGTCACCTTTATCAAAACAAAATAACTTACTGGGTTGCGCATCAATATAACCATTGTACAGGCAACTGCGGTGCGCCCAATTAAGATTATTTACCAAAAGACTATGATAATTAAGATAAAAGGGCTCGTCCACTGCATGAAACGGTCCCAATGCTGTAAGACGGTATAACACGACATTTTGTCCAAGTGTTTCGGAACTGTTTCTCATTTCCAGTGAACATGATTTGTACATTGAAAAGAAGTCATCACCCATCATTTTCATTAGCTAATGGGAAAAAAGAATGACTAATGAAGACATTAGACATAATATAAAAAGCAAGCAGTCAGTTGGAAAGGTACACTTAATCTATATGCCTGAGTAAAAGTAATTTGAGCCGATTTGATCTGATAAGTTACGCAGTAAATCTTAGTTAACATATGCTTACGTATTTGTCAGCTACCGGAATACTCATGAAATAAACAGACAGACATTCAGATTTGCTAGACATAGCTGAATTGCACCGAGCCCAAATAAATAAATGTGGTTAGAAATTCCAGTTGTTGGATGCTAGCCGCAATTTAAACAAGAAAAAATATCATGCGGATTATCTACGGCACCTCTGCATATTTTTTAATTTAGACCAAAATACAATTACCAATAAATGTTTCTGTTAAACGTTTTACTTAGAGGACAACCAATTATTTTCTCTTGTGAACAAACGATTCTATTTAACCATGGTAGTCTTGAATATAGGCGCTTTTGGGGAGAGTTAAACACGAGTTTCTTACTTCTCCACATAGATCAACAGATTGGGGTGCCGAAATGAATGCGGCTAAAACATGACATAGTAATAAATATTTAATCAGTGAGTATAAATACATAGGAAGCTTATTAACCTTAATTTCATGGTTAAATAACCAGGCTTGCGTTTAAAATTGGTTAGAGTTTCGGAATTTGGCTAAACACATACATTTTCGAAGCTATCAAGAAACATCAAACATTCTTTACATGCCTATGTCCTTTGATATTTTCTATGCGTTGTTGTAAATTCTTAAACCGCGGCTGTCAAATAATTGCTTTTTATTGAAACTACTAGTTAACCACATGTCGCCTGAAGGTATTAATTTAGGTTCTGCGCCAAAGTGACTTGATCCGTTTGGATCAAGTTGGGATCTATGCACCACAAACAAAAGCCAAATTGTTCTAAGTTGTTAAACCACTTAGAGGATACACAATATTTTCTCTATTAAGTTCTTTACACAGGTTGGTTCAGTAGATGAATATAACAAGTTGAGTTAAACAGTTCCTGTTAACGAAACCGCATTGAACATTCACCTACAATGAGAGACTTACAAAATTTCAGTTAAGGTGCTTTAGCTAAGCCATATTTTAATGTAAATATCATATTTCGCTGCCTTATGGTTAGTTTTGATTAAAAGTTTCTTGGAGGTGAGTGTTTTATTGTGGAATGTGTATTTAATCAAATGAAGAATATAAAAGATTTTCGTAAATCAACTAATAATCTAGACAGCCTCCTTTTTGGAATTATGCCTTAATGATGAAAATGTGACCAACACGTGATTGGTCCGTAAATAAATTTCCCTAACATTAGAATTAATTAAGAAAAACACCATGAAAACGGTATTGAGAACCAAAAATGTCGAAGCTCACACAGCCATTTGTTAGCTATCATGGGAGAGAGTAGACATGAACAAAAGAATTTTAATCTATGGTAACTACTTGTTCAACTGAGAGATAAAAATATGGTGTGAGTTAATATTCTAATTAATAGCAGCGATATGTATTCGATATGATATTTTTAGTCCACCTGCCTCATTAAGCGTGAGCAACTTAAGTTGAGAATAGAAACCTGCGCTCAAGAAATAATACTTAATGAACTTTTCACGTGCATTTACATTTACGTGACAAATAAAGTATTAACAATTGTGAAAATATGCAAAAAATGTAACTTTTATGTTTGACATAATATGGTTTGTATTCATAACTTTTGTGCCCCATGTCTGTGAAATGTATCTCACTGCTTCAATGGAGTAAAGGTTTGTCTTTACTGTAACACACCAGTAGGATCATTGTTGGAACCCGTCAGGCAAGACATTTTCCGGGCTGTTACTTATTTTACAGTGGTTAGGTTTCGTAATTTACCTGCTTTATTATTACCGTCTCGGTGCCTCGCTAATAGCAAGAGTATCGAAAAATGTCCAAATTCTGTCTGATTTCAGTACCATAGCCGACTACTTAGCGATCCAAAACGATAGTAATGAACAATTTGTGGAAGGGCAAATATCTTGGAAGTAATTTTCTTGCGATCCGCGATAAGCTTACCTACTTATTACGAAAGATAATTTTAATAAGTATTGCATTCGTGTACCGGTTAAAGCCGCATTCGTTAGTAAAGAAAACTGGAAACATTATCATATTAGGCAAACACAGCATCGTGAAAACGCAAAATGTGTATGGTGCAAATGCCGCAATAACAACAATGCTGTCGAACAATTAATGAGGCATTGATATGCAAGTTTTCACACTTAAATTTCGGCTTTTAATGATGTTTAATACGTCCGTTACCTGCATACTGATTTGACCCCATATCCGACGAAAATCAGACGGTCGATTTCCCACAGACGCTATCACGTATTACCGTTACATAACATAAATGTCAAATATGCGGCAACGCGGTTAAAAAACAATAACTTAAGATTTTAGCCAGGATTTTTACACACAACTGAGAGCTCATACGAATATGTATGATGCGGTATTTCACGAGCTTATTTCACTTCGGCATAGAAATGAAGGCAAACACGAAGTTCCATTGTTGTTGCTTAGGCTGTGACCAAGTGCGCCTATGCATTAAGTACTTAGTAATAATTGTAGTCAAACAATTGTTATTCAAATTAAAAGCATCATAAATTATGGACCTTAGAGTCATCAAATAGACTGCGTTTTCTCCCTGACTCCACACAGCAGAAGATGAATTCCTAGCTTTAGACGCATAAAGCCCTACTTCTTCTGGTTATTTTTGCTGTACATCGTAAATTTTCTGTGAAATAAGTTGGCCGCCAGACCGACGTCTGTTGCTGGATACTGCTTTCCTTTAACTACTACAACGTTTGTTGCCCTTCTGCAATTGTTTCCGGCATTTTGGAAAGGAAAATAAACGTTTGTGTCAACTCCAAACTGTTCCAGAGAAACCGTCGTTTATTTTGTCATGCATGTTTCGGTTGTCAGTCCGCTTTAGCTTGCGCTAAAATGAAGGACCACCGATTTGATCCCACAGCCCAGTCCCTTCTGTTTCCTGACGATGTTATTTTGTACACAGACGTGCTTCGAATGAATTATCAGAGTAAAAGATGGCTGTGCTTAAAATTTAGAGGTCGTCAGGTTTGCTGCAGTCACACAGGTCTTGCAAAATATTCGGATCAGCACATTGGATTAAGTGCGCTTTTGGACTTGTTAGTAAGTGAGAGGGTCAAAATTAACCACATGTAACTCATCGGGTGACTTAAAAATTTCACGGTTTTCAGAATTCAAATCTAGCGAGACTGTTATGCACAAAGGCTTCCTTGACGTTGTGAATAGTCTGCATATCGTTCATGATTATAGCGAAGGAAATGATTAAATTATTTTCTTCAACTTTGTACTAAACCTGGCAGCCGGCCTGCTGGCTTTTCCTCAATGCTTTGTTTACTTCGACAGGACAGTTGCACAGGCTTCAAACACTTGTACATAATTGGTACATGGTTGCAAGGGTTCGTATTATAAAGAGCCAATGGATAGATTGCACATGTATTCGGCAACTTATATATCATTTGTAAGAGTCATTACCAAGTTATTACATTGTCTTTTTAGAACATATGGGAGGCTAATTAATGGTACGCGTGTTCGTTCATTTTATGATTACATCATGTTGCACTCTAAAATCGCCTTTAAACTCCGGTGATGGAGGGCAAGGGTGGATCGAGCTATAAAATAACATACGGATTAACGTTGAGGTGCATTACAATTGTTGCAGGACCTTGGCAATTAAATTGCACAAACATGAATTTCTGCTAAGCTAGAAATACACAGAATGCAAGGGTGATACCAAACTACAATAGAAACTCGGATGCAAAGCTTTCTTGGACTGAGAAAGTTGGTGACCTATTGGCGGAGGACGGTAGTCACGCTACAGTGGACGCGATTAAGGCACAGGCGCTTTGGTGCGTCTTCCAACTTGGTGGATCGTGATGAAGATTTACGTACTATCCACTTGCAAGTGAACAATCATTCTGCGATTATAATAACTAAAACTACATTAAAACATCATGGGAGTTTGGTCTACTAACTGACTGATACGCTCACAAGTCGGTCGGAATTTTCAACAACGATGCTGGTACAGCGTATTATTTGGAGTTAGCTACATAAATTATGTCACATTGTGTAGGAGGACTTCCTCGAGTCCGAAATGAGACGATAACCAAAACCATACACAAAAGGTTGCAAAATAGTTCCTAAAAACTAAGTGCCTATTAACCTCAGAAAGTTTGTGGTCAAAGGTTTGAACAAGCCTAACATGAAACGGAGTGGTGAAATGTTATTAGCCCACCACATGATAGGATCGAAGCATGGCAAGGTTAGGTAAAATTCAGGCATTACTACAATGTTTAGCTTTTAAATTGTTGCGGCTCACCGGTTTAATGTTTGGATTTTAGTAAAAGTTTTCAATATTATCTTTAGCAAGGATTTTGCTTCAGCTATCTATCCTTTCATTATAGGGTAGCTAAGAGAATCAGCCTTTGTTATTTGGCCGTTCTTAAGCTAGATGAGTTGGCACATCAGGTTCTTCTCATGTGGGAGTACATTCGCTCATTGAAGTTGAAAATATTTTTCATGCACCATCACATGATAAGTAACAGCAAGAATTCCACATGCCTATATATTTACCAATGAACTAGTAAGAGGAGCCAATTACCTTAAAAACGAAGATTCTAAACAGGGTGGGCACAGAACTGCTAATACGCAATTTTAAATATGGCACATGTATCAGATTTTTCAAATTGCACAGCTAGATGGCAAGTCGCTGTTTGACCATGTTTATGACATGCTACTCGCGCTCGTTACAAATGCGCTGATAAACTGGGTGAAATAGCGTTGTCTTCAAACGAAACAGCGCTGGCATCTGTCATTAGCTAATAAATTGCCTCATAAGAGGAAGATTAAGTGCCATCGTTACTCAAATTAAGGGACAGATACAGCAAATATTATGACATATGAGATTACGTTCGACCGAGGAAACTATCCCTGATGTGGTAGATAAAAGCATTAGTCTTTTACGTTTCATTACTTTACTTTTATTTTAGCAGTTTTGCCTTTTTCCGAATACATAGTATGCTTCGTGTGATATGTTTGAAAATGTTGTAAAATGGAAGATTATTTTTATTTAAAACTAGCCCCAAAAATAGCGCAGAACAAATAATTTTCTTTGAGCGCACAGAACTGGTGTAGACAGAGTTAAATTTATGCAAATAACTAGGACCGATCTGTCGCATATCAATCAAACTTGCAGCAGTTTTTTAATTCGTACCCCTAAGGTAACACAGCACATGGTATAAAATTCCGAAGCATAGTGACACAACAAAATTCCACCAAATTGAAAAGGGTTTCCCTGTGGCTTGAGCTGGGAACATAAGCCTCCAGAACCGAGTGACATTTGCCAAGTTCAAAGAGTATTTTGACTTAATGAAAGGTATACTTCACAAAGCATGTCAGGGGTAATTGAACAGAACCGTGGATAGCGTACTCAAGATAAACATTTATCTGTTCGGAAGTATTTGATGTGGATGAAACATTTGTGAAAGTGCTGAAGCAACTATCCTCAAGTTATCAATGTCTGCATATTACTTGGATGAAAAACGGCGTTTATTAATCTTCCTGCAGTAGGTGAACATGTTGTGTTAAATAGTTGAACGAAAATGAATATACATCCACTGCAAATTGTAAAACACTAAACAGGCAACCGCACTTTTGTGCAATAGTCTTGCCACATGGTTTGGTTCATAGGTGATGCAGCCTTCAGCGTTCATATTAAACAGTACTTCCGTGCGCAGAGCGAGCTCCGTCTCACCTATCGAAACGAGTGGTATTCCGTGAAATTGAATTCCTGTGCGTAGCATAACCACGCGCATTCCCATATCAGAGTAAGTAGAACTTATATACAATGATTCACAATTCACAAAGCCACCAAGTACGTACGCGGACATCCGCGAATCTAAAAGCTAAACAAAGTACATAAGTGTAAATACGTTCTTATGCATGGCGGTTACTTAACATAGTAAAGATATGGAAACGAACCGAATATTTTGCAGAAAACACGGCGTCTGCTGCGCGGCAATTTGAAAAAGTGAAAGTCAAGTTGTCTCCGTTGCAAACATTTCAAAATATTTTGTTTACTCACGCAAACTTATTATTTTACCAATTACTTTATATAGCTGTATAAAACATTCTGTCGAAAAACTCACCAGTGTACAGCTATTGTTAGAAACTGATGCATTGGTAAATTGCAGTACCAAATCTGGAGTGAAACATACGACAGGATTAGTCTACGTAGAGGGTTTCATAACTTACGATCTTGCAGAAGGTCAATTTTGACCAATTTAACTATGTGTGTGTTTGGTATAGTAATGGAGTCAATTGTAAATATATTTCCCTCAAATTTCCTTTACATTTTTTATCTGTTTATTAGCTGAAATTAGGTGTCTTATGTCGAGTACCACCATAATTACTATAGAAGAATTGTGTTTTTGAAAATTTGATGGGCAGTGCTATTTAATTAGTCTTATCCAGAGTTCATTAGGCGATTCAGAAACAAAACTCATAAAATTATCGTGCGGTAGTCTGTTTCAGTTTAGCTAGGATTGGAGTGGCTTTGCTAACCTAGTAATTTAGATAATGGTATAATAACCTTAAATGAGTAACGAAGGTTGAATGTAGCGTTTAAATTTTTCTGGTAAATATGTAGCTTCTGTCGTTCAACTACTTAGTCACTTGTTTTTAGAAGTTTCTGTATCTTTTTCTGACAAGTTTGCTCACCTCTTGACCGGCCGGATTCGGCGCTCAACACGTTCGTTACAGTTACACAATGATCGGATTTGCCGTTTATCCTGTCAGTGATAATTTTAATACTTTTGTGCACACTCTCTGAGTGCAGCAAGTGTTGCCCGCGTATCTTTAACTTCAGCATTACTGGATGAGCTAGTTCATTTCCTGGAAATCCGATCACATCTGAACGACATTCAATTAGTATGGAGACGTTGAGTTTAGCGTCTTTGGCCCTCCTGCATATCTATGTAGAAAAGGTGCAGTCACGTGGAAAATGCGATGATGCAGATCACCATCAACGGGTTAGTAGAAATGATGGGATTTATCCGTAACACTTCAAAAAATGGATTATGTACATGTTAATCGTCGCTTTCTTTAATTAAAAAGCAAATGTGCGAACATCGATAGCGAAATCGGAGTGTTTGTCATCAAGTTGCTGTCTGGTATGCAACATGGAGCTGATGAGGCAGAGATCACATTCTCTATGAGACGTGCACAATTGCATACTGCTCTGGCTTATGATGCTCTGCTTAATCTATTAACGGCTAAATGTCTTGAGCAAATATTAGAAGGCAAAAGCACTCAAAGATTTATTGAAATAGGCTGTTCAAATTAATGTTTAGAAGCATGTGCTATCGGTCGAAAATGCCTCCACCGATTGGCCCACAGTGTGAAACAATTCAGCAAATTCAACGTAATAATCTTTCTTCCTACTAAAGTGGTATCCAGCACTACCTAAAAAAGTCAAACTGATTTGTCTAAACACACGATTTTATCAACCTGAGTACACTTAGCTCTAGATAGTCCACAATGAGGATGTTTTATTAATTGGATATTGAGCGATAGTTGGAGGGGGAATATTGTGACATATATGCTTATCGAAATCTGGTATTTGATACAATTATATAGTTTGGGTCTAAAATATTGCACCTTTGTTGCGCTGAATGTTTCTAAGTGTATGCCAAGGCCATGTTTACATATATATATTTATATATGTAGTATTTCAAGTTACGCTCGGCAGTCGAAATAAATGCAAGATCCAAGTCGTTGGTTATAAGAACCCTTCATATTGTTATTACGACGCTTAAGCTCGGTTTTATGATTAAATGGATAGCTTCCCTTACATATTCTAATGCATGATTCAAGGTGCAAAGGTTTGCAAGACGTTTACTCTATCTTTTATTCTCATGAAAATCCACTTGATTTAAGACTCACGATACTGCAAGCGGAATGCCCGGCGTCCAACCGGGCGATATTGTAGAACATTCTGATGTTATAATTTGTATCTGCAACAATTGCATGTTGGAAATTAAAGGACCAGTACTACGGCATCTCATGTCTTAATGTGCGAAATTTCAAGCACATTTCGGGGTGTTCAAAAGCAATCTCGTATATTTTACTTGACTACCTAGGCGCAAGGAATCAGTAGTATATATATATATATATAACATGCAAAATTATACCAAATAGTTTTTCTTAGGTTTTTCTAGCTTCCCATTCGGCACATACCATGTTCTTCTTCCTGAGACCACCAGCTGGATCCCACAATTGTACTACATCGTTTTCCTGGTGGGTTTAGATGACGGTTAAGAAAATCAAACAGTTCAAACTGGTAGGCGTTTTCTGGAAAGCCAAGAATTACCGAGGATTCCACTGTAATTTTATATTGTATGATGTGCCAAGTGAAGTACGATTCTATTGGCAGCATTAAAATACAACTTCGGAATCTATGTTCTTGCCAGAATTCAGGAACAAGTCCTGCAAGCTGCAAAGGTAACATTTGTTGATTAATTTGCATTACCTAAAGCACCTGTCGCGAATATATTCAGTAATATTTTACTGCAGAAATGCTTACCAAACTGCAAGGACGTTTATTTTGGATATGCGTGGCATTTGTGATCAACCGAACTCCGATAGCTGAAGATTCAGGATTTTGGGTATAAAAGTTTGCTGTATCATTGTCCTAGAAGTACATGTTATTTAAATATGCTGCTCCTTCGTAATCGTTAAAGTGATATTTTTGATGGCATTATCTCATCATAGATTGTTATTCTAGTATTTTGAAATGCCACTTTTCTCATCTATGCTTATGTTACCCAAGTTACAGTTGTCTGCATTTAATACTTTTTCATGTATAATTATCGCGCGTGCGATGCTTCTTTTTGCCGTACGTTTGCTTTAAAATTAATTAAACGCTTGTTAGTTTCATCGTTTTTACTCAGATTAGCAACCAATGTCACAGTCAGTGCTCTTGACCTAGGTAGGACCACTTACTTCTCGTACTATTTATTTTATTAGGCACAATGTGTTACATTAGATCTGTTAATTCATTTATATTGTTATTAATGAGTATGACTGTGCATTCGTTAGGCCGATTAGTTAATGCCGAAAGTTTACCTGCATTCACCTAAAGCCACTGCGGCGAACTGGGGAGACAAATTATAAGGAAATTTACAGTACCTCAGTTCGTATCAAGCAGGAGCTACGCTGAATTAAGCGAGTGCAAATCCAGTTCATTATTTAAAGCGGTGGCTATCTCGGGCTGTGCAGAATGCTTAAACGGCTTAGTGGTGTTTCTTGACGTGAGCCCTGGTTCACTGCTAATGTAGAGAAACTGAACAAGGAGTTCTGTAACCGCGATATTAAAATAGCCGCAAAGAATTCCAGTCCACAGTTTCTGTGGTACTTGAACTCGTTGCTTTTTATCGATAGTAAACTTGTACACAATTCCATAAAACGTTTAGTTTTCGTTAAAGCCAGCGCTCCGGATAAGTTATCTTCCATCATAATCAAAGAATATGCTGAATTGGTAACAATGCTACTCTCGTTCGTATAAACGTTGTGTAGGCAGCAACGAAGTGTCGCTGAATTCTTGAAAGGTTTGAGTATCACACTGCTGCCAAACGAAGCTCCAATATTTAGCGATCTATCGCCTGCAATTCAATTGCCTTAAAAGTTCTGATAAAAGTCATTCTTAGAGCAATGATATTCCAAGGTTTCGATAAAAGCCACTCCTGGAATACTGCTGTCCCAAATGAGCTCCGTAGGACCCTTTAAACGCTTATTATAATTCAAGAGCAACTCCAGATGCCTTTGTTTGCCACTTACGTCCTCTACTGTAATTACTTGACAATGAAAATAAATTAACTCTTATGCGTATCCTAAACGTTGGAAATGTATTCGTTCGTGCAGTCCAAAACGTGATGCTAAAAGAAGTACTTATTAAAGGAATGCATACCTCCAATTTCCATTGATTTATAATTTATAAAGCTAGACGTAAGCAGGCTACTTCACTTCCCACGAATTATTAGCGCTGGTGAACTTCATGGAGCAACACTTTTCTCTTCGCGGCTTACATCAGCTAAATCATTGCCCCCACAGAAGTGAACTTATTAAAACCTTTTGAGGGCATTTTCCTGCGGATTCATTATCGAACCATCGAAGCTTCAATCATGCTGCAAGGTCATTGGGACCACCACTATATTTGGTTTAAGTTATCCGTTTTTCTTTACCCAAAGGGGGCAAAGTACGCGCAACCTACTACACAGGGCCCCAAGCAGTTTATTGGCAGCGATGGATTCTACAAGTTTTCAACCTTGTAGTGCCTAGGTGTGATAGTGAACTATGTTTTCGCTTGGACATTCCTGTAAATGTAACTTTCACAAAAGTCAGGAAGTTGTGGTTCTGGGCTACGTTTAACTGCCACCTTTACATCTGGTGAGTTGATCATTTAATTTGTTATTGCCTTTGCCCTTCCAAATTGGATGTGCATTAATCCCTTGTTTTCCTGCGGTCTTCTAATTAAGCCTTTTTATTTTAAGTGTCTGGGTTTAAGGCGTATCTTAATATAAGGGCACTTTGAGGCTAAAAGTGTTTAGCGCACGTCTCTGTGTGCACACCAATTGTTGTAATCCCTGGCACCTAATACATTGGTAGATAATAGGTATTCGCCTCAAACTCTTCATTTGCATGTTTGGCAACATTTTCTACTAAGCAGAATAAAAGCAGCATTATGCTCGCACACAAGTGTACCGCTCGTCGGTTATCATGATTTTTTCGCGTTTTCCCCAGTACTGCCTTTCTATACCTAAGTAGCCGATTTACAGCAGGATGACTTTCCAGTCGTTACTCTCGCAAACCGTTTTATGGTGCCTTTAGGTTGTTGGATATATTCTGGTACATTTCCGAGAGGCTGTGTTTTGAGCGGTATACACGTTCAGCTAAGTTGTATCGAGCAATTTTGTGTTTAGTTGAAACATATCCTTTACATAAGGCTTGTGTTATTTCCTCAGGTAAGGCTACTGTTAAAAATAAACATTATATTTGGTTACGAACTTGGGGTGAAAATGTTGGTTTCGAGTTGTTGGTTTGCAAAATTACAAGTCAGCATTACTAAATTTACTGATGAAATCTGCTTCCGTGGAATGTTTATTCGCATAGACTATTTACGTATAATACCAGCTATGAGATTAGTCTACTCATTTAACAGCTATTCAAAGGTTTTACGATAGGTGTAAAAATATGCTGGCCTGCCTAACGTTAATAAACAAACCTTACCTAAAATAGACTTTTAACTTTTGGTAGGGTTTTATTGTGGCAACTTTTAGCCCTTGACACAAGAGCTTCTTCAGGCCAGGTGAATCGTTACAAAATTTTGTAACGATTCACCTGGCCTGAAGAAACTCTTGTGTCAAGGGCGAAACGTTGCCACAATAAAACCCTACCAAAAACCGATTTGTATTCAAACCTTCTAAAACCATGAAATCCCAGTCGGTTCCAAACGTTTTCCAAGACTTTTACCTTATTTTGATAACAGGATACAATAAGGATATGTGCAAATGTAGTAAACGTATATATGTATATGTATTTATGTATATATATGTATAGATTTTACTGGGAGGCGCACCACTGCCGAGACCAAGGAGGTCGCAAAGCCGGCTTCTGATGCTTATCCAGACTAGCCTAATCCTGCTTATTGGGATTGATGATGGTGAATTAGCTGAATTATATCTTAATAAATTTAGTTTTAAAAGGGCTAAAATTTCAGTTTAGTATATATATGCGACCTGGATGCTAGGACAATATAATACCGCTCGCCTTTAAGCAGAAATTTTCTTGGTAATTTCCTTGTATTTAGGGTCCTAGTATTAAGGCTCTATAACCTGTTGAACACTTGGTCATATGTTTGGAGTATGGGTTTTATATCTTTTTTCCATGTTGCTAGCTGAAGCCGGTGGCATCTAACTTGTGTTCCTAAATGTACAGCTCACAGCTTTGCTTTGTTGCCTATCAGAGCAGAACTTGGTTTAGCTAGTTTCAAAAACACTGGGCGCACACAACCGTAGAGCGTTTAGGAGCTGCTCAATTATATCCGAAAGTATCAAACCCAGCATTCCTCAAGTTCCGTTAAACAGCATTCAATAATCCAGGGCTATATCGTAGCGCCACGAATATAAGGTTTATGTTTGTTTCACGCATTTATTTTGTGCCTAATATTAGCCCGTTATTCTTGTTTAATGCAACTTTCGCTGCTACCAGCTTTGTCTGTAAATGTCACAAAATTTGTCAGTTTGTTATGTTTTTGTGACGCTCACCTGGTTTTCACCGGTTCCTGTCTTTTTGTTGTCCATAAAATGGAGATGCTGTGTTCTACAATACTCGCTTTCTGAACGTGGCCTCATTTCAATGTTATACATCCTTTAAAAAAGCTTACCGCAAGGAGTATTATCTGAAAATTGTTTATGTGGTTTTTCGTCTATATGATTCTGTCACAAATGATATGCTTTGTGTTCCGAGAACTAGTAAGGTTTCATAGTTTATTATTTGAATATATAGGATATAAAATACTATTTTTACACATTATATTGCCCAAAGTGTTTCCAAACTTACTAAGACGGTCTTATTCACCAAGCTATGAATTAGAAGACAAGCTACCATGCACAATACGCGATTTGTTGTCTTTGACTACGATATTTTAGACCCATTAAAATTAATTCGAAATAAATTTCTTGGTATAGCTATATTCACTTCGAAAAAACATTCGGTGATTCAGTTTAACAGATTGCGCTTAATACCTAAGTAAGCTAATCATTTTACTTGTGTGACATCAATGTCTTCTTCCTTTTCGTTTATCCACTCACAATATTATTTTAATTTGATGGCAATATTTTGCTTCTTGCGCAATAAATGTTGTAAATTTCTGAAACGTATTTGACAAGACTTGACTTGAAAAAGCTATGGTTTTTAAGCTTAACAATGATTCATGAAAATACATTAAGTTAAACACCTGAACTTGCGCATATGAACATAGCACGTTCTTCTATATTAAAAGTAGGTTTTGGGTCTACTGGCAAAATGTTCACTTAAAAAGATACTACACCATTCTTATCTATAATCCAAAGCAATTAATCTTTCAACTATCTTCATTATGAAACGTATCCAACATTGCTGGCTGAGTCGTACCGTGAGAAAGTTGTCAAGAATCCGATGGTATGGAGCTTTTTTAGATGAAAGGCGTTATTCTATTGGTGTCGTCTTTATTACATTCGCCAGTTATTGCTTCTTAGAGTAAATGCGGGAAAACATTTTGTAACATGAATACATGGGATGTTAGTTGTAAACGAACTATAATAGAAGACGCATGTACCCGACTCAGCGACTTACAAAATAATTCGCCAGTGAATGGTTTCATCAGGAAGGTTAGCATTACTATTCGTAGTAAATACATGGCCCTGGCCAACTTCAGCGCGCTTCACGCTCGTTATGTTGCGCAGAGCAGTCTAATCACATAATTTATTTTCTTTTCGCAACGTCGCATACATCCATTGGTCGAGTCCATTTTCTATCGACCAGGTGTCGTGAAATGCTTAATAGGTTTCCATGCTGAATAAATAATAACATCGAATTGAATATCTTTTTGACTGAATTCCGTCTTCATCTTCGCTTGCCTGCATGATTATTCAGTACTCATATAACCAAGACAGAACTACACTACAAAAAGCCAATTAACAATTTATTTATTCAAAACCTTGCACAGTTCATTCATTATTGTTAGCCGATATAGAGAACGTAGTGGTCTCAAATTGCGGGGCCCTTCAATTGGCTGTCGCCGCTACCAACGAGATATTCGCTGCGCTATATGCTGCAAACGTACCAATATTGTAGGAATCTTTTGACCAATTGTTTGGCTGAATTATTTCTGGTGCATTGAGGCAGCTCAATTCTACCGCTTCCTTAGGAGATTATTTGAGACATCGCACATAAAAAGAATTTTGTTAATTCATTCCAATGAAACGAGCTGTTCAGAAAGATTCTGCCAATATTTCGCTTCCTCAATCGCGTGCTGTACCTTATAATTATTTTGATCAATGCGTTGGAATTTTAAGGCCGCACAGCTGTTTACTTGAGTGACATCTGTGCACTCATTTGCCACACTGTTTTCATGCTTGTAACTTTACATCTTTAATTTCTTTTTGATCTCCTTGGAGGATTGCGTAAAATGCTGAAATTATACGCATTCCGGTGCATAAAGCTTATCTTGGCCCGGCTTTCCTTGAACCAGCATTAGTAACGTATTTAACAAATAGTAGTTTGAATTCTTGTCCTTGTTTTGCTAATGTTCCTCTCATTTAAATTCCATTTCTATTTTCACGGGCTGTCAGTGTTTATATGACCGTTAAATATGAAAAATATTTACACACTTTAAACAGAAACAAGCAGAAAACCCGAACTACAACCTATACGGTATATGGATTCGTCAACGTTTGTCCGCTCATAACCTATGGCGTTTTCGTTCAAATTGCTTAGCGTGATGTCAGGTCCTCTCATTCATTCCTGGTCATGGTTAAAGCAAATACAAAGTCGCTCGCCGCGAGCTCTCAGTGAATGGTATCGCGTGCTTCTCCTAGGGGATATCCATTTCTAACAAAGTGGTATGGATTTAAAGCGACTAATGAGAACTGAAAGTTCTATCGTAGATCGACGTAAGGGTGATTCATCTGGCAACAATCGCTTTCTAGCTACTCATATAATCGTCTGTCTTCGAACGAAATATACCGAGTTGTGCGGTTTGGTTCTGTGATTCGCCTTTGCCTTAAAAAATTTCTTGGATGACATTATCGAAGTTTACTATAAAGCTTGTGACCATATAAGATTGCAAGTTTGCGTCTTATCCAAGCATCCAGCACCGGAAATACCTTACACCAGTGTTACTACTAAAGTTGGCTGAAGAGTAACAGAGGGCTTTAGTCTACGTATGGGCTTCCGACCGGATTGTGAGGCTAACTGACGGCCTACAGATGATCCCGTTTTACCTAAGCTCAGGTCCAGCACCCTGCCTTTATGGACTGGGAGTTCATTTTATGTAGTTACGCCCTTTTATTTTGCCCTTCTCACTACATATTTAGTGACCATCTTTATCTTTTGTAAGCACAGAGCTCTCTTCTCGTGACGTTACTACGTCGCACCACCATTCCCGCACTGACAATTCAGAGAAATTTCTTGGTCTCGCCTTACATGACTTGGATGCATCTAATTCTTAATCATGGTTTTTATAATTAGTAATTCTGTTTCGCATACGTCACGTTACTTTGCAGTTATTAGTGTTTGCACAGGTCACTGCCCGGGTTCCTACCTACGTCGCAACTGACCTTGTAGATTTGTTTGCTTTAGACCCGAGCCATGCACTTTACGATTAGCCGAAAGCCAGCGTTTTAAAGCGCATCACGGCTTCTAATGAAGCTAGACTTCTACAATTATTCCCCGGTGTTGAACTAGGCGAACGCGCGCCGTTAAAGCTCTGAAAGCACTTGCGTACTTTGATCGGTTTCTCTAAGATCCATGAAAAATGCTGCGACAACACTACCATAAACGTCATTCAGCGCCCACCACTATTCTTTCGTTGTGTTTGCTAATGATTTGTCTTCGGACGAGCTGGCAGAGACAGCGGACCAAATTCACGAGTGCTTTCCTAAAAACACAGCATATCATACAGTCGAGTAGAGCACTATTGCCGACCATAAGACTAACCCGATTAAAGCCATTTCCGAGAGGTTAGCGAAGCTGGAGCTCGTTACTGTGAGCATTAATCGCTTCCGTGATAGAAGCTCTAGACGCTCCTCTCAAAGTAGCCTTAGTACCTACAGGCGTACGACACGTCATCTCTGTTGGTACCATCACCGTTTTGGCGATGATGCAAGGAAGTATCAACCTGGTTGTAAGCAACCAAAGGCATTCTATAAACCGCAACAGGAAAACTTCCGCGCTAGCCAGTGAAGGCGACAGCTGCGTCTGTCCACTCTTATATTCGTCTGCTTTACCTCCAGGATTCCTCAACCAATTCGTACTTTTTAGTTGGCACTGGTGCGGAATTCAGCCTTATTCCTCGTGCTGCAAATAAACACAACCTACTTCCAGCCGGACTGATATTGTAAGCGCCTAACTGTAGATACGGCCAAAACTGCTGTCTCTTAACTTTGGTCTCAGTTGCAGTTTTCCTTTTTTTCGTCGCTGACGTCAAACTCCCCATGCCTGCTGTCTATTTCCTCATCAAGTTTCGCCTGATTCTGGACCTGCGTAACCGCAAACTATGCAAAAGTTTCACATCCTTGTCCTTTTTGGTTAGTCATTTGGATACGTTCGATCGGTCTTCGCTTCGCATTGGCTGCCGACAATGCGGTCGAGGAGTACATTAATCCTAAGTAATATGAAATCATGGCATCCTCACAAATTAAGGAAGTGAGTGGTTTGCATGTATGTATGGTGCACGTGTTGGTAAGGGACGATCCGGAGTTCATCCGCAAGCTTTAAAAATACGTCGGTTATTTATGCGCATTCATTACCCTACTACATGCTCCCTAACTAGTCATCTTCCGGTGCCTTATTTTTAGTCTTATGGTTTTGTAACCTTCTACTAAACCTTTTTCTACCCTATTTTAGTGTTTTCTGCTGCACGCCCTTGGTTTACCATTTAATATGGGTATCGGATATAGCGTCAGACCAACGCGCTATAATTGGTGACCCCGACTTATAATCCGTGACGCACTTCCAATTAGTGGGTGCTTTACTAACGTTCCTTGCAATTTTATCCACATATTTCTTCTATCCTTTTACCTTTTCATATTTTTAATTATGTGTTTTCATGCAGCTTGCTCAGTAATTTTCGCCAGGAAGGTTATAAATCCAGATGCACACGACCAGGTTACTATTCTTATTCTCCCTATAATTCCTTTTCGTGAGACTAATCCTAAAGCCTGTTTCTCGCAGATGAAACCTCGGTTCTTTTTACATCGTATGAATTCCGGTTACATCAATTTCCACTACGTCGTGACCGCGCTCCCTTTGCATGTTATCGTGGACCTGGATGCTATTCTATTTCTGCCTGAGTATCATAAAAATTATGTAACCATTAAAGCCGCAGTTCTGAAAAGCACTGGCTTGTCCGACCAACAAGGAGTACTAAAACTCTTAAGAACAACGCAACTCGGTGGTCTTAAGCCGTCACGGTTGTTAGGAAGAAGGCAAAGCGTGGCAAAACCCACCTCAGTCGATGATGCTTTTCTCCGCGAGATGTGGTTACAACGATTACTCCGGAAGAAGGGTCATGGGCTTTCCGTTAATAGCGTTGCTTCACTGTCCCTTTTGGCTTATACCGCCGACGGAACTGGAAATCTTATGCACAACTTGCGCAGGTCCAATCGATCTCTGTTACGGAGTTAGTAAAACTCAGTGCGCCGATGGCCGAGCTTAATAAACGACTCAAAGACATTTCAGTTTATGTACCTAATTGTCGATCTCGTCCTAAAATTCGAATCCGTTTTCTATCCTCATCAAAGTACCCGCGTAGACCATGATATTTCTAGTACCGCACGCGATTTGGTCAGCAGTGTACCTCATGTGTTTCCTCTTGTTCTTTTAATTGGCAAAAACTGGTAAACAGGCCGACTAGCACATAGGGGCGACAGAAGTCGCTAGTCACTGCAAGTGCCATTTCTAAATTACCGACCGGAAAACGGGACTATGCTACCTTGTCGACACAGGCGCAGAAGTTAGAGTTTTCCCACGCCATCTCAACGAGATTATAACGTAGTTGACTAGCTCATTGCGCGCAGCTAACGGGACCATCATATGAGTGTATGATCAAAGCTCACGCACGCTCAACCTTGAATTACGACGATCTTTTAAATAAGTATTCTTCGTTGCAGACGTTCAAACACCTAGCCTTGGACTCGATTTTCTACATCACTACGACTTCCTTGCAGATACCATGCAACACGATTTTGTCGACGTTTTAACGAACCTCTCCGTCATTAAGGTTTTACCGATACTGAGCCAATCAATTCCGTGTACGCGACTCTGATGAACTCACCCGTCGGGCAAACGCTCCTCGACCGTATTCCACATGTCTTTCCTGCTGGCATTCCGATTCCCGCAGCAACCGATGCCGCGAAACATTATACCATTCCGAAAAGACGGTAGGTTTTCGCTAATGTTATACGACTTGCACCGGATAAAATTCTTATCGCTAAAGCCGAGTTCGAGCAATTTCTCGAACTAGTTAAAGTTGAACGTTTGAAGAGCCCGTGGGCGTCCCCGCTTTACATGGTGCAAAAAAAGTCAGGAAGAGCCTCTCAAGGTTCTAATATGTAAGGACCGTGTATTTACCACCGACCGATACGGCAAAAGTGAAAACGTTACCAGTGACCGTCTCAAGGTTGCCCACCTGGCACC